AATTCATAATGGATCAATTGAACTCAACAGTGTCTTCATTGTTGGATGCAAATTTGATTGCAACAATAGATTATATCACACTTCAACTCGTTCGCTACTTTTCTATTTTTATTTTTCTTTTTGGTTCGATTGGAAATATTCTTAATGTTTTGGTTTTATCTCAAAGAGCATTTCGTTCTAATCCATGTGCTGTACTTTTTTTATTCTCATCAGTAGTGAATTTTATTGCTATTCTTTCTGGTCTTCTTTCTCGAATATTATCTGGTTGGGGAGCTGATCTAACAGCAACAAATCGTTTTTTTTGTAAACTTCGTGGCTTTGTTGTCAATATTACAAGATCAGTAGCAATTTGGTATATACTTTTTGCTATAATTGATCGATGGATTTTGTCAAGCCCTAGTTTACAGCGTCGACAAATGAGCTCATTGAAAAATGCTAAGCGTGCTATGATTATAAGTCTTATTGTAGCTATCTTGATTTTTTCACATGTTATCTATTGTCATGAGCCAAATCTTATTAATGCTCCACAAAAATGTTATGGTATAACAATAGCATGTCAATTCGTGGCGGATATATCATTTATGCTTCTTACTATTGTGCCTTTACCTCTCATGTTAATGTTTGGTTTGATGACTGTTTGCAATATTCGTCAGTCAAGACGTCAAGTGGCTAATAGAGGTACATTGATGGTAAGAAACACAAGGAAAGTTAATATGAATCAACAACGTCAATTAAGCAAGCAAGATCATAATTTAATAATAATGCTTCTCGTACAAATTATTATTCTTTTCATATTATCTATCCCATTGTGTTCTCAGAAGTTATACTCAGCAATAGTGGCTGATAGAACATCATCTGCATTACAGGATGGTATTGACGATTTGACTTATAATCTTGCTCAATTACTTCATTTCTTAGCAAATGGAATGCCATTCTACATTTACACCTTGGCTGGTGGAAAAGTCTTTCGTAAAGCTTTATTCAAATTCTTCGTCAATATCAGCCACCATGTATTTCATAGATGGCGATGACTTTTTTTATTCGACATAGCATCTGAAAATGTAGTGTTCATATCAAGGGGGAACAAACTGATTTCGTCATTTCGTAATTTCAAGTGACTTCAGTGATTTCAAATGATTTTGTGTCACGGGAAACAAGCAGACTTCCAGATTGTCAGAGTGCAGAAGATTTCGGAAGATTCCGAAAGTTTTTGAAAAAATTTCAAAGATTATAGATACCAATATCTCTTTTTCCCATTTATCAGAGATAATCAGTTTTTGCTTGTCTTTATCATAATGCTCCGATTATGCCTGGAAAATCCTCATAAGCGAGACCTTAGCTTTCAAATTATTTCTTAGCTATAGTAAGAACAAAACATATGATTGTTCGGGCCATATGAAAGACGACCCCCGAATAACCTTAAGGTTGGCGCGAACAACCCTATATTTCTCCTTACAATAACCAAGAAATAGCTTCCTTGAATGTAATTGCTCGATGCTGGAGATGTGCAGTTCAGATCGATGAGCTCTTACGTGATTGACTTGTACGGCTCTAGTTGTAAGGCGCCTTGTTTTAAGATTTCACAAGATTGCA